AAAAAAAAGAAAGAAAGAAAGAAAGAAAGAAAGAAAGAAAGAAAGAAAGAAAAGAAAGAAAGAAAGAAAGAAAGAAAGAAAGAAAGAAAGAAAGAAAAGAAAGAAAGAAAGAAAGAAAGAAAGAAAGAAAGAAAGAAAGAAAAGAAAGAAAGAAAGAAAGAAAGAAAGAAAGAAAGAAAGAAAGAAAAGAAAGAAAGAAAGAAAGAAAGAAAGAAAGAAAGAAAGAAAGAAAAGAAAGAAAGAAAGAAAGAAAGAAAGAAAGAAAGAAAGAAAGAAAAGAAAGAAAGAAAGAAAGAAAGAAAGAAAGAAAGAAAGAAAGAAAAGAAAGAAAGAAAGAAAGAAAGAAAGAAAGAAAGAAAGAAAGAAAAGAAAGAAAGAAAGAAAGAAAGAAAGAAAGAAAGAAAGAAAGAAAAGAAAGAAAGAAAGAAAGAAAGAAAGAAAGAAAGAAAGAAAGAAAAGAAAGAAAGAAAGAAAGAAAGAAAGAAAGAAAGAAAGAAAGAAAAGAAAGAAAGAAAGAAAGAAAGAAAGAAAGAAAGAAAGAAAGAAAAGAAAGAAAGAAAGAAAGAAAGAAAGAAAGAAAGAAAGAAAGAAAAGAAAGAAAGAAAGAAAGAAAGAAAGAAAGAAAGAAAGAAAGAAAAGAAAGAAAGAAAGAAAGAAAGAAAGAAAGAAAGAAAGAAAGAAAAGAAAGAAAGAAAGAAAGAAAGAAAGAAAGAAAGAAAGAAAGAAAAGAAAGAAAGAAAGAAAGAAAGAAAGAAAGAAAGAAAGAAAGAAAAGAAAGAAAGAAAGAAAGAAAGAAAGAAAGAAAGAAAGAAAGAAAAGAAAGAAAGAAAGAAAGAAAGAAAGAAAGAAAGAAAGAAAGAAAAGAAAGAAAGAAAGAAAGAAAGAAAGAAAGAAAGAAAGAAAGAAAAGAAAGAAAGAAAGAAAGAAAGAAAGAAAGAAAGAAAGAAAGAAAAGAAAGAAAGAAAGAAAGAAAGAAAGAAAGAAAGAAAGAAAGAAAAGAAAGAAAGAAAGAAAGAAAGAAAGAAAGAAAGAAAGAAAGAAAAGAAAGAAAGAAAGAAAGAAAGAAAGAAAGAAAGAAAGAAAGAAAAGAAAGAAAGAAAGAAAGAAAGAAAGAAAGAAAGAAAGAAAGAAAAGAAAGAAAGAAAGAAAGAAAGAAAGAAAGAAAGAAAGAAAGAAAAGAAAGAAAGAAAGAAAGAAAGAAAGAAAGAAAGAAAGAAAGAAAAGAAAGAAAGAAAGAAAGAAAGAAAGAAAGAAAGAAAGAAAGAAAAGAAAGAAAGAAAGAAAGAAAGAAAGAAAGAAAGAAAGAAAGAAAAGAAAGAAAGAAAGAAAGAAAGAAAGAAAGAAAGAAAGAAAGAAAAGAAAGAAAGAAAGAAAGAAAGAAAGAAAGAAAGAAAGAAAGAAAAGAAAGAAAGAAAGAAAGAAAGAAAGAAAGAAAGAAAGAAAGAAAAGAAAGAAAGAAAGAAAGAAAGAAAGAAAGAAAGAAAGAAAGAAAAGAAAGAAAGAAAGAAAGAAAGAAAGAAAGAAAGAAAGAAAGAAAAGAAAGAAAGAAAGAAAGAAAGAAAGAAAGAAAGAAAGAAAGAAAAGAAAGAAAGAAAGAAAGAAAGAAAGAAAGAAAGAAAGAAAGAAAAGAAAGAAAGAAAGAAAGAAAGAAAGAAAGAAAGAAAGAAAGAAAAGAAAGAAAGAAAGAAAGAAAGAAAGAAAGAAAGAAAGAAAGAAAAGAAAGAAAGAAAGAAAGAAAGAAAGAAAGAAAGAAAGAAAGAAAAGAAAGAAAGAAAGAAAGAAAGAAAGAAAGAAAGAAAGAAAGAAAAGAAAGAAAGAAAGAAAGAAAGAAAGAAAGAAAGAAAGAAAGAAAAGAAAGAAAGAAAGAAAGAAAGAAAGAAAGAAAGAAAGAAAGAAAAGAAAGAAAGAAAGAAAGAAAGAAAGAAAGAAAGAAAGAAAGAAAAGAAAGAAAGAAAGAAAGAAAGAAAGAAAGAAAGAAAGAAAGAAAAGAAAGAAAGAAAGAAAGAAAGAAAGAAAGAAAGAAAGAAAGAAAAGAAAGAAAGAAAGAAAGAAAGAAAGAAAGAAAGAAAGAAAGAAAAGAAAGAAAGAAAGAAAGAAAGAAAGAAAGAAAGAAAGAAAGAAAAGAAAGAAAGAAAGAAAGAAAGAAAGAAAGAAAGAAAGAAAGAAAAGAAAGAAAGAAAGAAAGAAAGAAAGAAAGAAAGAAAGAAAGAAAAGAAAGAAAGAAAGAAAGAAAGAAAGAAAGAAAGAAAGAAAGAAAAGAAAGAAAGAAAGAAAGAAAGAAAGAAAGAAAGAAAGAAAGAAAAGAAAGAAAGAAAGAAAGAAAGAAAGAAAGAAAGAAAGAAAGAAAAGAAAGAAAGAAAGAAAGAAAGAAAGAAAGAAAGAAAGAAAGAAAAGAAAGAAAGAAAGAAAGAAAGAAAGAAAGAAAGAAAGAAAGAAAAGAAAGAAAGAAAGAAAGAAAGAAAGAAAGAAAGAAAGAAAGAAAAGAAAGAAAGAAAGAAAGAAAGAAAGAAAGAAAGAAAGAAAGAAAAGAAAGAAAGAAAGAAAGAAAGAAAGAAAGAAAGAAAGAAAGAAAAGAAAGAAAGAAAGAAAGAAAGAAAGAAAGAAAGAAAGAAAGAAAAGAAAGAAAGAAAGAAAGAAAGAAAGAAAGAAAGAAAGAAAGAAAAGAAAGAAAGAAAGAAAGAAAGAAAGAAAGAAAGAAAGAAAGAAAAGAAAGAAAGAAAGAAAGAAAGAAAGAAAGAAAGAAAGAAAGAAAAGAAAGAAAGAAAGAAAGAAAGAAAGAAAGAAAGAAAGAAAGAAAAGAAAGAAAGAAAGAAAGAAAGAAAGAAAGAAAGAAAGAAAGAAAAGAAAGAAAGAAAGAAAGAAAGAAAGAAAGAAAGAAAGAAAGAAAAGAAAGAAAGAAAGAAAGAAAGAAAGAAAGAAAGAAAGAAAGAAAAGAAAGAAAGAAAGAAAGAAAGAAAGAAAGAAAGAAAGAAAGAAAAGAAAGAAAGAAAGAAAGAAAGAAAGAAAGAAAGAAAGAAAGAAAAGAAAGAAAGAAAGAAAGAAAGAAAGAAAGAAAGAAAGAAAGAAAAGAAAGAAAGAAAGAAAGAAAGAAAGAAAGAAAGAAAGAAAGAAAAGAAAGAAAGAAAGAAAGAAAGAAAGAAAGAAAGAAAGAAAGAAAAGAAAGAAAGAAAGAAAGAAAGAAAGAAAGAAAGAAAGAAAGAAAAGAAAGAAAGAAAGAAAGAAAGAAAGAAAGAAAGAAAGAAAGAAAAGAAAGAAAGAAAGAAAGAAAGAAAGAAAGAAAGAAAGAAAGAAAAGAAAGAAAGAAAGAAAGAAAGAAAGAAAGAAAGAAAGAAAGAAAAGAAAGAAAGAAAGAAAGAAAGAAAGAAAGAAAGAAAGAAAGAAAAGAAAGAAAGAAAGAAAGAAAGAAAGAAAGAAAGAAAGAAAGAAAAGAAAGAAAGAAAGAAAGAAAGAAAGAAAGAAAGAAAGAAAGAAAAGAAAGAAAGAAAGAAAGAAAGAAAGAAAGAAAGAAAGAAAGAAAAGAAAGAAAGAAAGAAAGAAAGAAAGAAAGAAAGAAAGAAAGAAAAGAAAGAAAGAAAGAAAGAAAGAAAGAAAGAAAGAAAGAAAGAAAAGAAAGAAAGAAAGAAAGAAAGAAAGAAAGAAAGAAAGAAAGAAAAGAAAGAAAGAAAGAAAGAAAGAAAGAAAGAAAGAAAGAAAGAAAAGAAAGAAAGAAAGAAAGAAAGAAAGAAAGAAAGAAAGAAAGAAAAGAAAGAAAGAAAGAAAGAAAGAAAGAAAGAAAGAAAGAAAGAAAAGAAAGAAAGAAAGAAAGAAAGAAAGAAAGAAAGAAAGAAAGAAAAGAAAGAAAGAAAGAAAGAAAGAAAGAAAGAAAGAAAGAAAGAAAAGAAAGAAAGAAAGAAAGAAAGAAAGAAAGAAAGAAAGAAAGAAAAGAAAGAAAGAAAGAAAGAAAGAAAGAAAGAAAGAAAGAAAGAAAAGAAAGAAAGAAAGAAAGAAAGAAAGAAAGAAAGAAAGAAAGAAAAGAAAGAAAGAAAGAAAGAAAGAAAGAAAGAAAGAAAGAAAGAAAAGAAAGAAAGAAAGAAAGAAAGAAAGAAAGAAAGAAAGAAAGAAAAGAAAGAAAGAAAGAAAGAAAGAAAGAAAGAAAGAAAGAAAGAAAAGAAAGAAAGAAAGAAAGAAAGAAAGAAAGAAAGAAAGAAAGAAAAGAAAGAAAGAAAGAAAGAAAGAAAGAAAGAAAGAAAGAAAGAAAAGAAAGAAAGAAAGAAAGAAAGAAAGAAAGAAAGAAAGAAAGAAAAGAAAGAAAGAAAGAAAGAAAGAAAGAAAGAAAGAAAGAAAGAAAAGAAAGAAAGAAAGAAAGAAAGAAAGAAAGAAAGAAAGAAAGAAAAGAAAGAAAGAAAGAAAGAAAGAAAGAAAGAAAGAAAGAAAGAAAAGAAAGAAAGAAAGAAAGAAAGAAAGAAAGAAAGAAAGAAAGAAAAGAAAGAAAGAAAGAAAGAAAGAAAGAAAGAAAGAAAGAAAGAAAAGAAAGAAAGAAAGAAAGAAAGAAAGAAAGAAAGAAAGAAAGAAAAGAAAGAAAGAAAGAAAGAAAGAAAGAAAGAAAGAAAGAAAGAAAAGAAAGAAAGAAAGAAAGAAAGAAAGAAAGAAAGAAAGAAAGAAAAGAAAGAAAGAAAGAAAGAAAGAAAGAAAGAAAGAAAGAAAGAAAAGAAAGAAAGAAAGAAAGAAAGAAAGAAAGAAA